CGTCAAACAGTCGTTCACCCTTCTCCTTGGTGGTTTGTTCCAGAACATCGAACTGATCGGCCAGTTCCTCAATCTTGGGCGAGATTGCGGTTGCATATTCCGGCTTCTCCTTGGCAAGTTCCTCTCCAGCACGTTGCAAGTTCAGCAGACGCTCCTTGTTGGCGCCGATCTCCGCCTCAAAGGCTTGATGCCTGGTCCATTTGGAGTGCACAGTTTTGGCCGATCTGTACGTTTCATCCTGTGCAGTAATGTGCTTCTCCTGGATCCACTCGCCCAGCTCGTCGCAGTCGCGTAGATACTGATGAAGCTCCAACAGATCTCGCAGTCGTTCGAAAAGTGCTTGCGCCTTCTCCTTGTTGGCAAGTCGACGCTCATCCAGATTATCAGCGCGCTTGCCAATTTTATCCGTAGCAAAATGCCCTTCGTCGCAAAGTCTCCTGGAAAACTCCACGACACTGTTGATTTTATCATCGTTGGCCTCCATGGTGGCCAAAAACGCCTCGTGGCGTTTGAGAAGGTTCTCAGCTTGCTCGAGAGTGGTGGGAGTTTCATCCTTGCTGAGAGTGTGTTCTTGTTGATTAAGAATGACTTCAGCTTGACGGGCGTCGCGTTCAAGCAGCTGCAAGCTCAAAGACTGCGAGAGCAGATGTTGTCGATTGTCCCACATTTGATGGATTTCGTCCCAGCCGTCCTTAAGGGCCTTGAGCCGCTCCCGCAGGAACATGTACTGCGGGTCGTCCTGGGTGCTGGGATCGGCAGTGATTTTCTCCCCGTACTCCATCATCTTGGTGTAATCGTCTGTGTAGTTGTCGATCTCCTCCCGGATGGCCTGGTGCTGGGAGAGAAGCTTCTCTGCTTCCGAAAGGGAGCTGGGTGTGTCCTCTGAGGCGATGTCAGTTTGCGTCTTGGTGAGCCAGGTTTGGAAGTGGTCCAGGTCCCGTAGGAACCTGTGCAGATCGCCAGCTTCTTCCAGCTTGGCGTCGCGCTCTTTGAGCATCTGCGTGAGACGCTCCCAGATTATCTGGATCTGCACAATGCGCTCCCTGATAACAGCGGCTTCCTCTGGATGCTCGTCTTCAATGCCATCGGCCTCCTTTTGCAGGGAGTTGAGTTTGGCTTGAATGGCAGCCAGGTCGCGCTCCATTCCAGATAGGCGGCGCTGCAGCGTCATGATTCCTGTAAGATCCATTTCCAGACTGTCGGTTTCTTGCAGAATGCGAATCTTGTCCTCGATCCAGGTGGTGGTTTCGCGGCATTCAATGTGGAAGGTTTGCACTCCGTGCGCTGAGTTGAGTTCTTCGCGCTTGGCTTCGGCCTTTTCGCGAAGCTCCGCCCATTTCTGGTTAAGTTGGTTTTGCCTGGCAGTGATCTGCTCCCAGTTGGGATGCTCGACGTGCAGCAACTGTCTGGCGAGTTGATTAACTACAGCCACTCTAGACGCGTTCGAGTTCATCTCTTTCTCAAAGCCATCGTACCGGTGTTTCATGATTTCCACGTCCTCAATGTCGCGGGCAGGAATCATTGTCTGCAACATGCGGTCTTTTTCGCTGATCCATTGCTCGACGCCGTCACTCTCTGAGAGAAGCTTGTAGAGGGAAAGAGCGTCGAGGAGGCGTTGTTTGCGCAACTTGGCCAGCTCCAACAGCTCCTTGTAGCGGTTATCGATGGAAGCCAGTCTTTGGGAGACTTCTGGAGAAGTGGCCACTTCCGGCCCGAGAGCCTCGGCTTGTTGATGGAGGCTTTCAATGACGCTCGCGTAGTTCTTCAACTCGTCGGTTACGTCCTTGTGCTTCTTCAGAAGCGATTGTGCGTTGCCTTCGTCCCGTCCGACGTCTTCACTGGAAACCAGTCTCAAAGTGTCCAGCATCCAAATGTCCACATCATCCGCGTCAGCGAAGAGTTGGTGATAGTCCACCGCCTCCTCCAGGCGCTTTCTTCGGTAGGAAGCCAAGTCGAGCAAGTGCTTCCATGCGTCCCTAATTTCCGTCAGTCTATCCTGTATTTCCTTGGAGCCAAAGTGGCCTGATTGGATGAGTTCTTCTCCCACGCCGAGGGCGTCGTCCAGCTGCGGCTCGTGGGCGGACAGCTCGTTTTCTAGAATCTTGTGCTTGCTCAAGAGCAGGTTGACGGTAGTCAGATCGTGCCCGATGTCTGAGGTAGAAACGATTTGCTCCTTTTCCTTGATCCAGTTGTCTTCGTCCGCCATGTCCCAGTAGAACTGCCACAGCTTCCTGCTCTCCTCCAGCCGCGAGCGGCGCTCCACGGCTAATCGCACTAGCTGAGCGTAGGCTTCCTCCAATTGTTGGACGCGTTCCAAAACAAGCTGAGGATCACACGGCTTATATCCCTCGTCTCCTTCAACATCAACAAAGCGCTGACTTTGGCTTGCCACCGCCTTCACTCTATCGCCCAGAATATTGATGTCGGCTTCCAGCAAGTTGTGTTTCTGCAGCAAGTCTTCGACGCCCATCAGATGTTTGCCCAACTCCTCGATCAGCAGGCGCGTCTTCAATTCCTCCATGGCATCTAGGATGTGCAACATTTCCTGGAAGTTCTGTTGCAGCTGCAAGGAAAGATCTAGTCTATTTCTGCGTGCTCTAAGCAATTCCAAGAGGTAATTCCATAGGCGTAGGACGTTGTCCTTTCGGGCATTGATGCGTTCCATGTCGTGATAGCTTTCGGCTTCCAGTTCGGCCGCAACCGATACAACAGCCTGGACGCGCTCTTCGTACGCCAGAATGTCGGTTTCGATGGCTTCGTGCTTCTTAGCCGCCGCTTCGACTGCTGCTAAGTCTTGGCCGAAGTTGTCCTGGGAGACTAGGCGTTGATTTTCGCTCAGCCATGTCTCGCGCATGCTGGCTTTTCTGTTGAATCTTGCGGCGAGTTGCTCGAGTTTTTCTTGACGGATTAGTTCTTCTCGCAAGGCCAGTTCTCTTTCGTGCTCGGCCTTCTCCAGTCGTTCCCAGGCTTTGTTGATGTCGGAGATCATCTTGCCCTCCTTCGGAGTGTAGGGACGCTGGTTGTTGGCCCGCATCTTTGACTGGAGGGTGAAGAGGAGAATCTCCAAGTTTCCTTTCTCCACGAACTTGGGCGGTTTCTCCACCGTTCTGTAGTTGTTGAACTGCGTCAGCTGCTGCTGAACGCCAATGAGGCTGTTGGCAAACTCCCGTTCTCCCAAGGCGGAAATGGTGGCCTCGATCCATGCCAAGAGCTCGCTGGTGAGCCCTTCGTACTCCTTGATCATTCGGTCGTTTTCCATTGCGATTCCTACGACTTTGCCTATACGCTTGCCTTGCACGGTCTCCTGCTTCATTTTGCTGAAGTAATGGTAGTAAGTGACAACGTAGGTGATGATGGATTTTTCGTCTGGTTGCTCGACGAAAACGTCCTCAGCATCCAGCAGCTTGGTCAGGCCGAGTTTGTCCTCAGCCACGTTGAAGGCGTTATTGAGATTATGGATGGGATTGGATTTTGACAGTTTATCGAACTGGAGCAAGTCCGGTCGGTGTTTGTGGATCAAGGCATTGAAAGCCAAACCATCCCGCCATGAAGTCGAAAAGTTCCGAACGTTCACGTTGTGATAACCAGCAGTCTTCATTTGACACCAGAGAAGTAAAGCATCTTTAGCCGACTTGGTTTCCTGGTTATCCGTCTCTTCGATTGTGATGTCCTGGATTTGGAAGCGCAAGATTATAGTCCATATCAAACCTAACGACAATCGGGGATTTCCATCTACTATATCGTGCGATCCCATATTTTCCAGGTGAACTCTTTGCTCCTTGAGGAACTGGAGCGCTTTGTCCACATTCTCTAGGCAGTGAATGCGCATCTTGCCTTTGGTAGGGCGAGGCAGCCGTTCACCCGAAAGCACTTCTAGAAGCTTAATCAAATTCTTGCCGTCCCTGAGGTCGGTGTAGAGGTCTGTGATTCGGGAATTCACCCGAACTAAATGCGAGTTTACCCATTTTTGGAAGGTTTTCTTTTGTACGCTTTCTCTTTCGTCTGGAATCAAACCAAATAGAGCATGAAACACTGGCAAGACATTTGATATTTATTTATTAATAAACACCGCGCAATTGAACTTCATTGAAACACACCTCACAGACAAAGTGATGCACTCAAGGCTTCATTAACGCAATACATAGCTCCTAAACTACGGGTTAATTTTAATTATTACAGGATGCATGTTGGTATGCAGATTATGTTCAAGCAACCGTTGATAGGAAATCGGCTTAAGTTTCGACTGACTGTTTTAATAATTTAATCAGAGTAACCAATAGTTCAGAGTGATGATTAGTGACGACAATCGACTCTTCAACTAAGCTCGATTAATTTGCGTAAAGTGCAGATGCAGTTTTCTTGTAAGCAACTGAAAAAAGAGCCAGCAGTACCTCTAAGTTCAAACACAAACTTATCAAAATACTGATACTCGTCATCAATTGAACCCATCTTAATACCGTTAATCACGACGCGAAAAACACTGAAAATTTCCACTTTTTCTCGTGAAACAATGAAAAAAATGCACTTAACAAGAGAAGGCAGTGCCGATTCACAGCACACGCATTCATATTATAATTGTTTCAAATCGCTGCACAGGAAACGGTTTGGTTTTTGATAAAAATTGGTTTACAACTGATAGTGAAGCCTATTGGGCAAAACGAACAAACAAACGTGAATAATTTAATACCTAATTATATGTTCGAGATAGCTCCCGTTCGGAGGTGCGATTGTGTGAAGGTCTTAGAAAAATGCTTATCATTGAAGTCCCAATTAAAAACGCACTTAAATTGTAAAAAAAAACATTTAAATTGCAACAAAAACCAAATTGATTTTCTCGCAAAAAAGCATTAAAAATGCGCAAAATGTTTTCAGTGCCAAAAGCATAATGACTAAAAATCCAGACGCAATTTTTGTACCTGCTAGCGCTTTGATCCTGGACCGTTCAAACAGTCTGGAAGAAGAGTTGCCTCCATCATATTCATAGTCCTCCTCAATCTGTTGTTGCAATGAGGGGTCCCACCTCACCATGCTTATGTCAGTGGTCATTGTTGCGTTTAACACCAGCTAAGCTGGTCACCTGTAATCAAAGAGAGCCGGATTAATTTAAAAAAAACCATCAACCCAGAAAATCAGCTGCTAGACTTGCACAACACCCGGAAAATCAGCAGCAAAAGGAAATCCCTTCACGTTAACTGTGTTAGATGCGGCCCCGTAATTTTATGGAAATAAAATCGTGCGCTCAGTTCCCACAAGGAAATATCGGTAAATGCTCACCTTTTCGGGCAAAAGCAGGAACAAGGGTTCAGTTAAACGAGATTGAGACTCAACAGAAAGTTTGGGCACTGGTAAGTGGTACAATAGGGATTTTTAAGACTGCATCCGAGTGACCTGATTTTTGGTAAGCAGTTTTCGAAAGCTTTTCGGGGGGAAATAATGAACATCGATCGCTTGGAGCAGTCTCCAGGTCGCCTGGCCCGAGAGTTGCCAAATGGAGTTGCGGGACTTTTTCGATCGGAAAAGTTCACAAAAAATTTAGCGCTTGTGAAAGCGCTCAAATGTGAATTTCACGCAAAATCGTTCAATGAAAAGTTGATTCATTCTCATCCTTTCATATGAATCTTCCTCAATGTATTCGGTTATATTTCAGTAACTTTTTCTTAACAGTTAATTTTTACGTTCACCCAAAGAGGTTTACTTTTTCCTATTCCAAGTTTGGCACGCATTTTTCATACAGGGTGACCGCATTTCAAAGCGGTGTCTCTTGTGCAACAATCTAAGCCATAATCACGATATTTTGCCTTAATCGCCAGGTATTTTCGCTGATAGTTTTCTTGCTTTTTAACGGCGATAAAAATTGCCACGTCTGCTCCAATCATTTTTTACATAATAAAAAAGCCCATTCTGCAAGAAACTTGAACCCGAAAATTCGGCGGTTATTAACCACAAATATGCAAAATAACTTTGCACTTTCGCCGAAATCCAAAGTTCCGTTGCTGGGAAAATTTTGAAGAATTTTTTACTTTTTTTAGATTTTCGCTTTTTAACAAGTGTTGAAATCCCTTTCCAGTTTCGAATTTGGAAACAAAAATCAAACAATTTTCTAGCAAGAAACGAACAGAATAAGCGAAAGTTTATAACAGATTATTTGGAAATCTCGTCACCGCCATTCCATAAAGACTGTAGAATTTATTAAAAAATATTTTTTAATTTTAACTGAATTTCCTTTCCTTTACTTTCTACTCAAAAACGCTCTATTTTGTAGAGTTTCACTTAAAAATACTGACGATCTGGAGAACTTTTACGCGAAAAAATACAAGATACGGATACAAGAATACAAGATTACGGCTTTGTAAAAAATGTACAAAAACTTTTTTCAGTGGCGAAACCGGGACAAGATCGAAAATTAATTTCTACCGTTTTTTTCCCGAAAACAATTAAGGTTTTCTCCAAAACCGATCACAAGACTAAAAGTTTTTAATCGAAAACGCAAAAAAGTATAGCTTTCTGATGGTTTTCTTTTTTTTAACAATAATAAGGTGTTTTCAGTCAAGAATGATAAAATTAATTTTGCTAGAAAATTAGCCCCATTCATCGGTTTGCAGATAACTTTAGAAAACCCTTTTCAGCTTCGAATTTGGCACAAAACGCAAATTATTTTATACAGTTTTTTACCGAAGGTAATTAGTTGCAGGAGCAATTAGTTGATTTTCTTCGGAATTCGGTCTGGACAGTAAAGAAAGAGAAAATCTTTTTTAGCTATCAAGCTTTCGGCAGTTTATTGTCGCCTTCCTCAGAGTGCGAATTGTTTGACCATAAGAAGGCCGGGAACTCTCCAGAATATTCCATCATTTTTTGTACAGCTTGATGAAATGTTTAATCTTTTAGTTACATTGCTTGGTCATAATTTCTTTGTCTTGAATTATACAAAACATTTATTCACGATCAACATGTTTTTCTGCAGAAATAACGAGACAGACTACATTAAATACAAATTAATGATGAGTTGAAGGCACTAATCTACATCTAATTCATTTGACTTCCACATTTCAAACTCTACTGCTCCGCATATCAGTTCGGAATCTTTCCGTAATTCCATTAACGGATGAGTTATAACTCGTTAACTCAGAGAGCGGCAATAACTCAACTCAATAGCGTAACTCAACACAGTGTTACCCAGGCCTTAAATTAGACGATTTTTTTGCGCTGATTTGCAGAATTTAAAAAGCCCCATTTTCGCGGAAGAAACGTACTGAAATTTATTGAAGATGGAAAAATTGACGAAGAAAGTCCGGCGAGTGTTAACAACAAATATGTACAATAACTTTGACCTTGATATATTTTTTAGTTTAGTAAGTATAAACGGAAGTGTTAATTTCTTTCTGCAAAGTGCAGCTGTTGCAAAATTGTCATTGGTCAATAGACACCAATTAACTTAAAACCAGCGCTTTTTGAAGCAAAGGTACCCAACAAATCGGACTACTTATTGCGAAAGCGATTTTTTCTATCAACTTTGACACACGCTTATTGAAGTAAATTTACTCAGCTGGACCGATTTTATCATCAAAAACTGTTCAAAATTTTGCCGTTGATATTTTACAGTGTTGCGAAAAAGCAGAGATTTCGATGAAATTTCACCCATTCTAACAAATTAAAGCGCTTTTACTAGAAACTTGGAAGAAACAAAATGCAAATTGCCCTTATTTAGCTGCATAACTATAAACTGTTGAAGCCCTTGTTCTCAACATTCTTTCCTTAAAGAACTGATTTCGGTCTAACTCTGGCTTTATCAGCTTATTCTTCACGAAAACTTTTTCAATATTCCAAAGTAACTAACCCTGGCAAGGAAACTGTCGCTTTTGCTTAACTAAACTTATGGCCATAAGAAACTACTATTTATGAGCAAAGTTCGAACATAACTTTCAGGAGCCAGTTTTCCACCATTTCCTTGTAAACACAGGCTGTATTGACTGGGGGGCGCAGTAATCATGTTACAGATTCAACATGTATTTGCCCCATTTCCTGCAGTAGATTGAAATCGATTGACGCCATAAAGCCAAACGAAAAATCATCACCGAAGAAGAGCTGAAACAAGTCTTCATCCTTGTCGAATTTAACAATGATTATGATGAAATGTAGGTTATTCACTCCATTGTGCAATACAACCTATGGCGTTGAAATTGTAACTGTAATTTTAATCTCGATTTTTTTCAACTGGCCACTGTTCGCGGAACAATACGTAACAGTTCGTCGATATCGCCTCACCAAAGTTGTTTAACCTCTACTATAACTAGTCTTGTTTATTATTACACTTCCCACTCGATTAGCTCATACTACTAGAACAACAGCTAAATAGCAAGTGGTTAAAAATAAAGCTCATTTACTATTAAAGCTAATGCTCCAATCTATCAGTCCTGTTCGAAATGAATTAAAGAAGCTTTGCAAATATAAAAATACGTTCTATTGAGCGTATCCTGCTTACCATCGACACACGTTCAATTTAAAACTCTAGTACTATTTATAAATTTTAATGATATTAGACAGAAAGCCTACTAATTTTGTCATGGCCGTTCTGCACGGCGAATCGATGGTTTCAATTAGAAGCGTGAGCTTATTGTGCCTGAAACTGCTTAAAAAAATAACGTGGACGAAACGACTACAATTTAGGCCTCTGGGTAACACTGAGTTGCAGTTTTGAGTTGTTGCCGCTCTCTGAGTTAATGAATTTTAACTCATGGCCGATGATGGAACTTTAACATCTAACAAGAAAAAACCATCAACATATTGGTTATGCGCATACGATTGCTTGAAACTATTTGGTCTAAAACGGGGGAAAATCCGAAAAATCTGAAGAAACTTAATTCCAGAGCGATGAGGGTGACGAGTTTTCCAAATATTGATTATATGCTTTTGGTTTCTCTGGTCGTTTTTTTGAGGAAAAAAAAATATAACTTTGTTTTTTTGTATAAAAGACTCTCAGTTTGCCAGTATTTTACAGTAAAACGTTAGGAAAAACGAGACGAAAAACGATTTAGAAATATTGACCTATAAGTGAAGAAACCTGAATTTAAATAAACTAAGTTATCACAGCGACAAAAGTAACGAGTTTTTCGAATAATTGATTACAAACTTTCACTCGTTTTGTTCTGTTCGCTGTTAAAAAAAATCTACAAAGAATTATTAGAGTTTTGTCCAAAAGTGTTCCAATAAAATTTATTTCATAATGTTCACAGAAAATACCTGAAGATTGTCAGTATTTTAAGTAAAACTAAAAATAATACATTTTTTGTGTAGCAAGAATTGCTTAATAGAAACTTTGCTAAAACTGGAATGACCTGAAGTTTTACAGAAACTTGAAAAATCTTCAGAGCAATGAAGGTGGCGAATTTTCCAAATAATTTTTGTCGTCGTTTTTTTCTTCAAGATAATATTAATTGCTTTCCGTAAAAAACTGAATAAAATTATTTGTTTTTTGTGCCAAATTCGAAGCTGAAAAGGGTTTTCTACAGTTCTCTGCAAATCGATGAATGAGGCAAATTTTCTAGCAAAATCAATTTTGTCACTTTTGGCTGCAGACCCTATTATTGTCAGAAAAGAAGAAAATCATCAGAAAATAATATTTCTTTCTGCGTTTTTGGTTAAAAACTTTAAGTTTCGTGATAGGTTTTTGTGAAAACCTTCATAGTTTTCGAAAAAAAAACGGAATAAATTTATTTTCGTTTCGGTCCCGAATTCGACTCCGAAAAAAGTTTTTGTAAAATTCCCACAAAGCTATAACAATATCTTGTCATTTTTCGCGTAAAATATATCCAGATCGTCAGTATTTTTAAGTAAAACTCTACAAAATAGTGCGTTTTTGAGTAGAAAGCAAAGCAAAGCAAAGAAGTCAGTTAAAACTAAAAAAACACATCTTTTAACAAACTCTAAAAAGGCAAAAAGTCGTCAGAGGAATGGAAATGATGAGTTTTCCAAATAATTTATTATAAATTTCTGCTTATTCAGTTCGTTTTTTGATAAAAATTATGTTATTTTTGTCCCAAATTCGAAGCTAGAAAGGGATTTTAAAACTTTTTACAAAGCGACAAAGGAGGCGAGTGTTCTAATAAAAATGTATTTCATAATTTTTCGAGAAACATACCTTAAGATTGTCAGTTATTTGAATTTAATTTTTTGAAAATTGAGCATTTAGAAAAAAGAGTAACTGCTAAAACTGAAAAATTCTGAAATTTTGAAAGAAATGTTAAAAATATTATTGATAAATGGCCCTTGAAATAAATCTAAAAACAACGAAAAAAGGCATTAACATTTTTCCAGCAACGGAACTAAGTTACTGCGCCGGTGCATTGGGTTAGCGCACCAAGCCATTTGCGTAGCACTGTGCCAAGCCATTTGTTAGAATACGCTGTATATTCAATTCAATGTTCATAAATTCTTCCTGGGAGTTTCCTAAATACTGACAAAATAAACTGCAGGTCTTTGTTCGATTCCACTATGTCGCAACTATGGATGTAATTGAATGTGGACATACGAATGCCCCGATTCAACCCCCGTTGATTTTTTCCTGTGGACATTTACCGCAAAAGTTTTAAGTTAAAAATGGGTTTGTGTGTGGCGAATTAAAATTACCACAAACCATCAAATGGCCGGCTTTATTACGGCATCCTCCTTATGTTGCATCATCGCGTTATTTCATTCAGATCGTCGTTATTAAGCTAATGGGCGATTTACATGGTGGCGTCATTTGAAAATATGGTTCTTGCAGCCCACTCGCTCCGAATTGGTATGGTAAATTGACCCTGTACGGTTATTTAATGATTAATTGCCCTAAAGCGATGCAGCCAGTTGAAAGAATGCCGTTAATTGTTGTCCCCCGTCTTTCCAGATCAATGTTTAGTAAGCATTTCCGACGAACCATGATCAACTTGCTCACCTGATCTCGTTTTAGTAGTGGTAAAAGTCCGAAATCATTTTATCTTATCTGTATACTTGCCAATCATTATTCCAACGAAATTATGTAAGTTATACACTCTTACTTCAGCGATATAATTATATAGGAATAAAGTGTGTGTGAAAAACAAACATTGTTATAACCAATTTCATGTTATCTTAAATGGAAACAATCTATTAAACATAAAAAACCGTTTGTGTCAATGGTTTTGAAGTATAAAGTTTTCCAATTGTGACCCTTTAGGAGGTAAAAGTCCTAACCGAAATAAGAAAGCTCTTGAAACCTTACGAATATTAATTCTATGAGATCTTTAATCCCCTCATCGGACGTTCCAGGCACTTCTTCCATGGGTCTAAAAAGATGAAAGTCACAAGATGACAAGTCTGGACTGCAGGGACGACATTTCAACGTCTCCCAGCCTAATTTGTCTGCCCCTCCAAGAGTGTTTGCGGAATGAGGCCCGGTGTTGCGTGAAGAAAATGACATTTTTGACCGTCTTTGCGTTTGTCTTTTCCTTAGATATAACAATTTTGCAGCATCCAGAAGATTACTGATCAGCACGCTTACTTCTCATCGAATATTTTCAACCGTTTCCTCGATAAAAGTTTCAAAGTTCGTTTGCTTCTATCTCTTCAGAGTTATGCCAAAATTTCATGTTTTCCGTCCTATTTTTGCACTTTCTCGGAAGCAAAATGAGCAAGAGCGCTCATTTTTACATCATTCCAGAGAAAACTAAATGGCTTTTGAAGAAAGTGAACCACCGATAAGAAAATGTTGGCAGTTTTCTCAAAAGTCTTGATTTGTGTGTTTTTTTGAGTTGCAAAATCGACTCAAACATGACGCTGCTTTTCTCGAAGTTTCTCAACCATTTGAGCCACATAATTCGTTTTGGCATCGTTGGATAGAGAATTTAATATTCGATTCAGTCATAACAACATGAGTGAGGAAATTCGAGTAGTTTTGACCCAGAAAGCGAAATTTGAATATCATACATTGGGCAGCGGCAGATCCAGCTTTCAAGTCAGGGTCCAGTCGATGACATGCCCTTGGATAAAACCTAATTGGTAAAACGCAGTTCTGGTCAATAAAGAGGAGATTTACGATGAAAATCAACAAAAAATGAGCACAATAAAATATCAAAGACGGCATACAAAAACTTTTCTTTTGAGATACAGTTTCGAATCATAAAACATCAATTTGACAATGCCGGATGGACTTGAAGACAACTAAAATTGCCAAATTTGAAGTAACGGAAAGCGCACATAAAAGTTCAGTATTGCAAACAGAATTTTAGTAGCAGTAACTACATTTTTATAGACGGATATTTAAACACGTGTTTTATGGGGAGTTTAAATCACTGTTGAGTCTTGTGTATATTTAAAGCTTCAAAGTACTGTTCATCCAAGGCTGAAGTTTAACTTCGAAGCGATCATAACAAAGAAAACGCTTTTTACAGCTCTAAAATTTTATCAAAGCGATGTAAAAGCTGAAGAATTTTAACGTAAAACAACAAGCTTTCTGCACAATCGATTGGGGCTCAAACTCTTCGAGAAAGTTGCCCAAAATACACAAAAATGTTATGAAAAAGTATGAAGAAACTGTACACAGAGGGGGTTGACCTAACAATAAAATATGTACAAAGATGAGAATGCAAATAGCGACAAATGTCGATGCTTTGGAAAACGTTGAAGCATTATAATAAGCCGGAGAAAGTTACTTTTTCAAGCCCATATGGGCGAGAAAGTTACTTTTTCAAGCCCATATGGGCTAAAAAGTATGTAAAYGTTGGCCATCGACCTCTAGTTAGAAATRTCGTCTAGAAATAAGAAAACCAGATCTAAAAGAACATCTAGTTCAAGAAAGATGTTTTATAGTTGCATTTTAAAACTAATATTAACTCTTGAAGATTCAATTGGCTACAAATCTTTATTTTAAAGCAGCTCAATGGTCAATTGGCAGAGTATTAATACATCAAAACATTACAATTAAATGCGACTCTATTGGCATCCTGAAACCTTACAATGTATAACCATAGCGAACATGCAAAATGTTCGTTATTTTCTTGAAATATTCATGTTTATTTGATAATTTAAAACCGAAACTGAACGATTGAAGTGATTTCACTATTTTGAATTTGCGGGATACAGAAACAAGCACTAAAACAGTCACGGAAAATCATGAAGTGAGTTCTAGAAAGTTTCCTTTCAAAAACTGAATCTTTGCTGAAAAACATTTAAAGAAAACACAGTGCCTGCTTCCGTAATTTTCATCATAAATTGTCTGCTGAAGAACTTGACTTCATATTTAACGCACGTTTATAAGCATACACTCATATTTCTGTCTTGTTTGATTTTTCCAACACCCGCTGGACAATCTAAACGAACTGGGTGTTATGAAGTGTTATCGGTTGTTTTCACACCCTGTATGGGTGTGAAAACCACCGAAAAATGTTAGTTTTTCGGTTCTACACCGTATCATACGGTTGCAAGATCGTACAGTCTTTTTTTACACTAGCAACATTTTTTAATTTCTTGATTAATTTAGAAACTTTCTTGTCTCTTGCATTATATTCGTATCTGCCACCGTTTTCAAGTTATTGGCAAAGCCAATGCATTTACGCAAATAAGAACAGTTATTCATGTCACTACCCAAGTTCCAAATTTCAGCAAAATAAAACTGAGAGAGTTATAACGAAGAAACCAAATAAAATTTCCAGTTTCTACACCCCGTTGTGTATGTACTCCCTGTTTATATAAACTTTTCTACACATTTTCAAAAAACCAATCCAAAATAGTAATTTGATTAATTAGCGCTTACAGACAATGTCCATTTAAAAACATACGTTTTCTACAACTACTCTCCCCCCATCGACCCCCTTAGAAACTCTTTGGGCAAATTTCAGCACTTATTGAGGAATTAGGGGAATAAATGTCAGTTCAATGGGCAATGTAGGCACTTTTTATACAATCGCACCCGCAAAAGCAGGTTGATTATTCAGATAAGGAGTGGCTGGTTCAATCCCGATAAGATCACAGTTGTTACATTACACTTGGAATGGCTGATCAATGATTATGATGTTTGTTTTAATAAAACTGGCTTTTATGAAAAAAAGGCTCTGGTAACAGCAATGAGGCCAAAGGTTTGAAGATCGGATGCGGATTTTGTAGTATTTAAATCAGTATTCAATAAATAAAAAAACTTATGCGAACTGTTCCAAGGACGACGAGCATACAAAATAAGAAATGATTCACTCAATTCACTGTGAGAAAAATTGATACCCAGTGTGTAATTATTTAATTTGTCAATTGGCACTTTGAACTTGCGATACCACTGTGATGTGGAGGGAGTGTGAGAATGTAAAAATAGCCCCTTGCTTGGAATTAGAAATTGATTTTCCCCAAAATTTCCACACCTATTTAGACTGGTGAGCAGTCGCGGATAATTCAGATAAATAAACAGTTTTTCCACTTGCCAGCTCTGGTGTTTTAAGGCTGTTCCCACTGTTCCAGTTTCCCTCAAAGTTCACTGACACACAGGGCAGCAAAAAGTGTCACTTGTTTAAAAACACTTGCCGATGGCTGGGCTAGAAACCATCAAATATTTGATTTAAACTGGTGAAGGGGGTGGAAAAACCTTTGAAACAGCCAACAGCTATATGGATAAACCATTTGGAATTAGTGGGGCATTAAAGAGCGCATTCTTAACCCACTAAACTGAGTTTTGTAATCAAACGGTTACACCTAACAGCAGCCATTTTTATCCCTGAAAGTTAATTAGCAGGCTCTGCTGGTAATGGCAATTGTGACTTACCTTGTAGAAATATGATGCACTGAACAACGGCACTCACTTTTCGGTCAGTTATTCCGTAAAATATCGTTTTCTCGTCACTTAAACCAGTCCAATAAAGCTAACCAACACTGCAAACGCCCTGCATGACAGCTAACGTCGCGTCGAGTACATAGATAAAGACAAGTACACAGACGAGTACGTCCACAGATCACAGAGGCTATCGATTCGAAATTGACATATGAACCTGTAGAATGTTATTTTGTCTCAGCGGCTGCTTTTCAAACTAGACTCGATTTACATTAAAATTTAGCGGGAGATTTGAATTCAGTTGATGAGTTTTGCGTATGAATTTTTGCGTTTGAATTTGAATATTTTGCTTATGAGCTTATGTAAGTTCCAATAACATTTCAAGCAGCCACCGCGGATATCATTAAGTGAACTCAAATCGCCTGATAAGGTTTTGTTCGTGTAAAAACTACGATTAATTGGGAGAATCAAGCGGATGAAACTCTCTTACTACAATAGGTATTTATTAAACTAAAAAACCCAGAGATCCCGTTGGTAATAGTATTGAAATTACATGAGTTAGATCGTTAATGTCTCACGAAAAATAAAAAATGTACAAACTTACACATTTGAAATTACTTCTTAACGGTTTAACTATTTTGAGTCCAGCTTTAAAAGTCTCTGACTGATTCTTAGGAAACCGAAATCGGCGACCATGTCATTTTCACAACTACGCACACAGCAATTAATCGGGTACCTGGCCACTTATATTCGATTATTGTAAAACTCTTATAAAACTGTAAAACTTGTAAAAATTGCATTCTGAAGCATATTCAGTAAAAAATTATCATACTCAAACGATAGGAGTAGCGCGCTACTCCTATTTTAATTATAATAAATGAAGGAAAAGAGCTGCAAGAATAACGCTGATATGGATTTACTCTGTATAAACCGTTTAATTAGCGCATCTTGAACAAAAATGGTAATTTACATCATTGAACCAAGTGACACTAAGCAGATGTTGCGCATATGCCGATAACGAACACATTTAATAGCCACTTAAATGGAAATGTTTATAGATCTAATTGCATTTCTTCCACATGCCGGCTCAAATGGCTCCAAAATGAACCTGAATCTGTGCATTATTTCCGTAACGCTCTGGTTTCTCCCCGGTTTGCGGGCGGAGAAACTCAACCTGGACGCTCTAAACAACTATAGCGAATTTTTGAATTTCGGCGACAAGAAACTGCATAAAATCGGCGAAAACCGGCTAGAAAACGCGATTTTTAAGTCGAAATTGGACGTGTTGGGCGAGGTTTTCAAGAAACATGTGGACTTTTTCAAAGTGACGGACAAACTGGATATTGTGTTCCTGGTAGATGCCAGTTCCAGTGTTGGAGATGGCAACTTTAAGAGTGAGCTGAAGTTCATCAAAAAGCTGCTGAGCGATATAACGGTCGATTACAATCATACAAGAGTGGCTGTTGTTACGTTCAGCTCCCCAACCAACACTGTAAGTAAAACTGCATTAAACAAAACCATTTCTGAATGAATAGCAAAACCCAGATAAAAAACATCGACGACATCAGCGACCCATCAAAAGAGTACAACAAATGCCTCCTCCTCAACGACCAGCTGATGAAAATTGAGTACAAAGGAGGCGAAACCTACACCATAGGGGCATTTGCCAAAGCCAAAGTAAATCATTTTTCAGCAGTTTGACACAGCCGAACAGTGGGAATTTGCAGGAAATATTCGATCACTCGCTGCGCAATGATTCGAAAAAAGTGATCTTCCTTGTAACCGATGGCTATTCGAATGGCGAGAATCCTGTTCCGCTTTCAAATGAACTAAAACGCAGCCAAATCACCATATTTACCATAGGAATCCGCAATGGAAACTACAAGGAATTGTACGACTTGTCTTCAACGCCCGGCCAATTTTACAGCTATCTTTTGGACAGTTTTGAGGAGTTTGAAAGCTTGGCTAGAAGGGCCCTTCATGTTGGTATGTAGAGAGGCTAAAGCCCCCGACCTTGAACCAACCTGTATATTCAAAATGCAAGTGAACTTTCAGATCTATCAGGAGGCGACTATTTGCCGCTAGGCGTGAGTACTCCATGCGATAAACTATGTGAGGCCGGAAATTGTTGCGACAAAGACGCGTTGTGCGCCTGTGGTACCACTACAGGCCACTATTCCTGCACCTGCAAGCCTGGATTCTATGGATCTGGATTGAGGAATGATTGTCTGCGTAAGATCGGTTTGAAGCTCGCAATTCCTGGATAAAACACTGAATTTCTTCAGCATGTACTCCGGGCACCTACTCAGATGGGCCCAACCTGTGTCTTCCTTGCCCAGATGTCCATCACACCACCATTCTTCCCGCTCAGGGTATCGACAGATGCATTTGCAAGAAAGGCTTTCAATCGGATGGAACCGGAGGTTGCCAGAGTAAGGACCAGTTTCCAAAAAAATCTTCCAAAGTCACTAACAGTTAGGGTAGTTTTAAAGTGCCCAAAAATCAGCGCTCCTCAGTACGGATACATCGTGAAGAAGAAAGAGTGCAGCAACGTGCTAAACAGCGCCTGTGGGCTCAGGTGCGAAGTGGGCTACACGCTGGTGGGCAGCAGCATTCGACTGTGCCAGGAAAATGCCACATGGACTGGTTCTGATCCTACTTGCGAAGGTATTTTCCAATACAAATTGGTATGCATTTAATGTAGTCAGAGTGCATTTAGTGAAAACCTGCAATCGTCTGCCAACCCCTAAATACGGATCGGTAAAGTGCGAACAAATCGACTTGGATGTTGTATACGATAGCGCAGAGAAAAATCTACCAGTGGACACAGTTTGCAACTTCCAATGCGAAAACGGCACAGTTTTAATCGGTTCTACGCAGAGAACTTGTCTACCAATTGCGCAGTGGGATGGATTGCGGGCTATTTGCAAACGTAAGTCTTCCAAACAGAGCCAATCGGACGTTTGAATCATCTTAAAACGACGTGAAAATCACCGATTTTGTCACGTCGAATCGACCGGTCAAATCACATAAATTTGCAAATTTATTTTTTCTGAAATTCCTTGAAACGAAAAATTCCATTGGTTCTGAGTGTTCAGTTCTGGTGATTCAGAAATCAAATGCAACAAACTACCCGAAGTGCGATATGCACGAATCGAGCCATCGTCCTGCACCGCTGGGAAGCAGGAGTTTGGAAAAACCTGCAAAATCATCTGTAACGACGGTTTCAAAGCGGCTGGATCCACTGTTAAGACTTGTGGCAACCATGGCCTTTGGGGGAGGAAGCAGGAGGAAAACACCGTCTGTACAGGTAATTTTCTGCGCAGTAAAAACAAGGAGAACGTAAAGGCCTGCACACGTTCCAGATTCCACTCCTCCTGATCTGGAATGCCCGCAAAACATCTCAGCTTCAGCAGTACCTGGAACCAACTACGGACAAGTTTCCTGGACAGAACCCAACATTACAGGTACTTTTCGCTTTCAGCTTGCGCCCAACTCAACTATTTTGCATTTTTCCAGATAACTCCGGCCTGGAAGTATCCACATGGCTTAAACCCGCCATAGTCAACGTCACAGAGTACAAGTTCTCCATTGGCCTGACTCCTGTAACGTACTTTGCTCAGGATCCGTTCCATAATGCAATAAAATGCAAATTTTTCGTCGAAATCCTTGGTGAGTTCTTGCAAGTTCCAGTTGCAATAGGAACCGGAATACCATTTGCTTCCAGATCAAGAACCCCCAGTAATCGAAGAATGCATCAATCCAGCCCCTTTCTTGGTCTCTCCGCACGCTCAGGAAAACATCAGCTGGGATGAGCCGAACATTTTCGATAATTCCCAAAACGTCTCCATCACCAAAAGCCATGAGTTTGGAAGATTTCCCATTGGAACCACTCTGGTTACTTACACAGCCAAAGACCCGTCAGGCAACCTCAATATCTGCAACCTGAACATCACAGTTGAAGGTAAGTTTTTGGTGTAAAAGCCCCGTGCTTTCCAGAAAAAATGTGCAAAATCTTCGGTTTCAGAATCCGAATGCCCCGAGTTTACGTCGCCTTCACACGGCCGCTCAGAATGCGCAGATCAGTCTGAGAGCAGACAATGCGTGATCACCTGCGAAGAAGGCTACGCCATTCCTTTGCAGTCTTCTGAGGCGACTTCTTTGGAAAACAGTAGCAGATTTGAGTGCAACCATGCGGAAGCTTTGTGGCATAATACGGAGGGACTTTTGTATCCAGAATGCTCTGGTTGGTGCCCAATTTGCCAGAATATACAGCCTCTGATCTTTACCTCGTTTTGCAGTTACTGTTGTGGGTGATCAGACGCAAGAAGGCGATGTTCAAGTGAGTCTGGATGGCGATGGATGCAACAACACAGACCAAATTGGAGAGGTAAAGGCGCAAAATCTTCAGAAGTCTCCTTACACTTAAAAACCTCTCACCGCAGATTCAGAATAGCATCAAGTCCATGATAAGCAACAACATTTGCACGGGCTTGTGCGAAATAGACCTAAAATCCGAGTGCGAAGTGGAGAAGTCCGAAGAGGAGTCAAACAAGCTGTTGAGCAGAAGACGGAGGAGAGACTCAGCAGGCAAGAAATCGCAGAGTTTGCAAGGGGTTCCGCATAAAAACTCCAGGGCAAGGCAAAGGAAGCGAAACCGATTGAACGTGAAGTTCCAAGTAAGAGGCCGCTACCTCAATGAGTCAAAAGGGCCGGATTTGAGGCTCGAAACCCACAACAGCTCAGTGAAACTGAAAAATGCCAAATTCGTCTGCCCCGAAGGGTTCATTCCTAGGAAAAACCGCTGTGGTAAGTGGAAAATCTTCCCAATCTTTCGCCCTTGAATCACTTGGCGTATTTAGTTCAATGTCCAAGAGGGACTTTCCACAATGCCACCTCAAACATATGCCAGAGTTGCGATTTCGGGTCCTACACAGACCGCTTGGGAACGACTAGCTGCTTGCAATGTCCTCCCAATCACTCCACTCGAAAAATCCATTCGAAAAACGCCAGCGAATGTCGAAGTGAGTTAATTCATCAACTCCCGATGAGGTTACAGAGGAGGTTTGTTCCAGAAATGTGCCCTCCGGGTACGCACGCAAGAAAAAAGCGAGTGAAAACATCGAAGCAGCAAAACCCTCCCACTGTGGAGAGAGCCACTTTGAGTCCTCACTGCAAATCGTGTCCTGTTGGGACTTATCAACCGGAGTATGGAAAAATCAAGTAATTTAAGAGGCTTTCCCGATTTTCCAAACATTTTTCAAGCAGAGTTTGAATCAGTATTGAGATTTGTTTTTGGATCCTCGGGGCAGTCAAGATGTTGTGCGATCTTTCGATCTTGGAGGATCTGAGGATCCTAAATAAACATGGTAAGAACGTCGAAAAACTGCTGCTTTTTTAGGTGTTTGGCTTGTCCTGTTGGTTTCACTACAGCTAAGGCGCAATCGGTCAATTCAACCGAATGCATTCCGACATCCAAGGGGATTTGCGCCCTCACTCCAGATGTGTGCAATCATGGAAAATGCGTCGTAGTGAACGAGTACGAATTTTCCTGCGAATGTTTGCCAGGTTTTGTAGGCAAGTCAGTCGCAGGATGATGTTGAAAAATAACAATTTTCCTCCATTTTCCCGGCATAAAAATTAGGTTCCCGTTGTATCAAGCAAATCACGCCTTGCGATTCGCAGCCTTGTTTCAATGGGGGCGCATGCGATTCTGTCGGAAATGTGGCTGTTTGCAGCTGCTCCGAAGGCTTTTCTGGGCAATTCTGCGAGATTGTGGCGGAAAAAGAAGCTGTTTGTGACTTAAAGTGCCAAAATGGAGGCACCTGCTTGGACGTCGGTGAAAATGAACTTCTTTGCCTCTGTTCTTCAGGTAACAATACAGGCAGATCAAAAAAAGTGGCGCCGCTGATTTATTGAAATTTGCGGCTTAGCGATTTGGATCTTATTTCCACCGCAAATAATGAAGAAACAAAAAAAATATCTGGCGAACCATTTTTTTGAAACGAATTAAAGTTCACGCAACAAGAGCAAGATCTTACTGACTATTAACGGGATTTTCATACCTGCAAAACGCCCGGTATTTGTTTCAGGTTTCTCTGGCACTTTATGCGAAACGCGAAAAAACTACTGCCAGGACGTGATTTGCGAAAACAACAGCACCTGCATAGAGCATGAAGACAGTTTCCGATGCATTTGTGCCAAAGGCTTTTTAGGGCGCCGTTGCAACATCCTGCCGTGCGACTACAAGCCTTGTAAGGAAAACAGCCTTTGTACGAATTTGGAGCTGGAAAATGCCACTAAAAGCGACTTTAGGTGGAGCTTTCCTCAACAATTGGCAACTTGGGAGTTGAACTTTGGCATTTTCCAGATGCACTTGCCTTGAAGGATACAGTGGGCCCAATTGCCAGAAAATCGACTACTGCACTGCATCAAAGTGCGAAAACGGCGGAAAATGCATCAGCAAAGAGACCTCGTTTATGTGCAGTTGCTCTAAGCTCTATGAGGGTGATTTTTGCCAGTTTAAGCGGGAAACGAACTACATGCTGAACTTTTCCCGTTATGATACAAACGACTTTATTAGGCTGAGGGGATTTGAAATGAATCTCACCGAGGTGAGATTTCTGAGATAAAAACTCATTTTTTGCCTCATTTGTCCCTTCTAGATCACGGCCTGTTTATGGATCCAAACTCTGGATAATTTCAACTATGGAACCCTTCTCTCTTATGCCACCAGATACACAGATAACGCCTTCACTCTGACTGACTATACTGGGTAATAGCGTGATTCCGTCGCTGAGTAGCTGAGTAACTGAAAGCTTTTTTAGCATAGTTTTTTACGTTAACAAGCAATACGTGGTAACGGACGTCCTGCTAAATGATGGCCATTGGCATCATATCTGTGTCTCGTGGAGAAGCTCGGGAGGAACGTACCAAATGTATCTGGATGGCGAACTGGCAAAGAATGGCTCAGATTTGGCTGCCTATTCAGAAATAGGAGGCAAGTGGAAGGGTTTTTGCAATTTTTCCTGATAAGGTTGTTTATGGTTATTGTTTAGCTCATGGGTATTTAATTATTGGGCAAGAGCAAGACGCTTTAGGGGGCCGCTTTAGCCAGTCCGAGTCCTTTGTTGGCAACATGGCTTACGTGGACCTCTGGTCACGAGTGCTGACTCTGCAGGAAATTAACGAGCATCGTGATGACTGCTCTGATAGTATTTTGGGCGATTTATACGCTTGGCCGGAAATGCAACAGCATACCAATGGAAACATCCAGGTAAACATCCAAGGAAAGAAGGCCTCAAATTCCACTCAAACACTTTTCAGCGACTTTCATCTACATTTTGCCAAAGATGCGAAGACCCGAAGCCCTTATACAACGGCTTCATCGACATGATGGACAATAGGGCTTTTTACTCATGCTACCGAGGTTTTGAGTTAAGCAGCAAGCATTTCTCCAAGGGGCGCCGCTGCACCAAAACCTCCAAATGGGAAGGGTTTTACGAGCCGTTCTGCAAAAGTGAGCAATGAAGGAAAATTGGGGAATTTTCTCAAACGGTTGGGGAATTTTAGGAATAACCTGCGGCTATCCAGGGACCGTCAAAAATGGCTACTCCATTGGAAATCAGTACTTTTATAGCGACAAAATCTCCTATAAGTGTTTCGATGGGTTTTCCATGATTGGCGGCAGCACCATTGTTTGTAAGGAGGATGGCAAATGGTTCCCGGCGAAGCCCAAATGCGTTGGTAAGTCCGTCCAGAACTACTCATGAATTAATGGCACTTTCCACACCCTCACTTTGGAAAACCTTCAGGTGTTCAGTGCACTCTTCCTAAAGTCCCCAATGGAAAAATCGAGATCATTTCTGAAGCAGCTGAAGAGTCCCTAGGGGTAAACCGAGTGGACTCTGATACCCAAATTCGCGTAAAATGCTTCAGCAACTCCACCTTAAAGGGCGAGAATCCTGTGGCCACATGTCTGGAAGATGGTGGGCAAAACCTCCAGTCAATTACATTTTTTTTATCAACCTCCTTTGAAGGTACTTGGGATAACCCGAATATTTCCTGCAAATTCACCGCAAGTCCCCAGTTAAACTGTCCACTACATCTCATCCCTGTTGCCCCTGAGAACGGATACTTGGACGAAAATAGTCTGAATGCTATGAAAAATGGCACTGCAGATTTTGTGGAATATAAATGCCGCTCTGGGTACTCACCAGTAGGAGTAAATATCTCCACTTGCATAGTGGACGGGTATTGGACGGAGCCTAATATTACCTGCCAAGGTACGTTGCCAAACCTTTAGAAGCAAGTCAGTATCTGCGATTTTTAGCAATCACTTGTCCAAGCCCGCCGTTGTTCCTCAATATGGTGCTCAAGAGCAAGGAACCACATATGTTGACCTACCAGTGCCAGGAGGGCTACAAACTGGTGGGAAACGCTGTGATTCAGTGCACAACCCTCGGGAAATGGAGCAGACTGCAAGGAAAATGCACCAGTGAGTTCGGTTAATTTTTAAATTTGTCAACACTGCACTAGGTGTATCTCTAGGGTTGTCTTGTGGAAAACCTGCTATTTCCGCCGGGGCAAAAGTGACTGGGAATTCGTACCTTTACGGCGACAGCCTCACTATCACATGCCCAAACGGGAAGAGCTTCAAGATAACATGCGAAAAATCTGGATCTTGGAGTGAAAACTCTGGCAACAACTGCTAGAGGGATGTGAAAGGCCTTTTCAATAAAAGCAGGACCGATTTTATTTAGAATTTACACAGTTTTTCCATATAAACTTATAATCCTGTCTGCCTCCCGATGTCCTGTTTCAATGGCGCCATTCACAGTGGAAAAACGAGACTTGTGGGTCGCTTCGCCCGCAAACAACACCACAGGTTTTCCATTCACTGTTAAAGGTTTTGCTAGGTCTTCGGCGCTGGCTTGTCGCCGCTCCATTTCTGCGCTCACATATGCGTAGGAGCCTCTGAAATGCGGATTATTTCCCCAGCGGGAACTGAAATGGAAACGGGGTTTATTAATAGCGCAAATGCAGCAACTGGAAGGATTAAGGTTTATTTTTCTTCGGCATAAAAAAACTTACCGTATGATACCATCAGGTTCAGGAATTTCGAACTGTTTTCCTGCAAATTTGCGCAACATAGACATACAACCTTCAATGATGGTTTCATCGGGAAGGAGCTCTACCAGCTTGGCAGTCGGTCCGTTTATCCAAACCAACAGTGTGCTTGGATGGGTGTCGATTGCAATGAAACTGAATAGGTTCTCTAGCCAAGATCTGCAGATATTTAAAAAAATAGTATTGAACACATAGGGTTTTTAACAGGGTTTATATGGGCGGTTAAAGCTCAGAACCGCTCAAAATGGTTGGAAATTTTTGACGATTTTAACTGAGCTCGTTTTTATTTAAATTCACATGTTTCAAAGCAATACCAGCATCAATTTGAAATTGTCTCCAAATTTTAGCGTGAGTTTACTCTAAAGATGCTGAAAGTTTCATAAAAATGAAAGTTCAATAAAAATCCTTTGAAACACTCGAGTTTTGTCAGACTAGAAAGTAATGGTCTTAAAATCGATGTGTTTGCTGCACTGCTCAACTCACACTGTCCTTTGAAAATTCGTATTTTCAAATCTAAAAGAGATGGTAGATTCAAATCTTGCCCATCAATGAAAGACACTTGACTTCAAATATTGGAAAAGTATGATTAAAATCCCTTACAGTTTTGAGTTTTGCCAGCTTAGAAAATGTCGATCTCAAAATGTGTTCGATTTGTTTGGTCAAGTACTCAATTCACTTTCGTTTTTAAAAATTCTTATCTTCCAACGCAATGCGCCTAACACCACAAAATTTTGACCATCTATGCAAGAAGCTTGAAACTAAAGGTCCTGGAAGTTTCATAGGAATCGCTTAAAATGCTGAATTTTGCTAGCTTAATCAATACCGGTTTCAAAATGAATCTGTTCGCTCAAGTACTCAATTCACTCCTTTGAAAATTGGCATCTTCCAATCGAAAAGACGCAAAAGCGAGAATTTTCGACCAGAAACTCAGATACTCGACTGTAAAGACGATGAACGTTTGATAAAAAGTGCGTAAATTTCTGAAATTTGCGAGTGAAAAAAATATGGATCTCAAAATGGGTCCAATGTGTTCAAGTGTTCAACTCACTCTGTCCTTCATATCTTCAAATGTGAAGCGCATTTGAGCATTACATTTTGACCATCAGTAAAAGAGACTTGAATTTAAACAAAAATTGCTTCCAATCCTGAGATTTGCAACCGTAAAAAATGTCGGCTTGAAAATGTGTCCGATGTGTTTGCCTCAGTGTTCAACTCACTCTTACAGTTGCTTGAAATTTTGCCCACCAATAAAAAAGACTTGATTCCAAAGATTTTCCATGTTTAAGAAAATCGCAATTCTGAATTTTGTCAGCCCAGGAAATATCAATCTCAAAATGTTGTTGAGCTCAACTCACTCTCTTTTAAAAAATCGCATCTTCCAATCAACGGAACGCAGCAGCTTGAAATTTTGACCACGATTGAAAACCAGTCGACTCTAGAGATGCGAACAGTTGAATAAAAATCGCTTTAAATCCTGAGTTTTCTCGGCTTAATCACGCGCTTTTTTTGGGAAGCTGAACGCCAGCTTCTGGCTTCCAATAGAGAAATTTATACAAACTTAAAAGAACTTATTAACCTTCCATTCACTTCCGGCCCTTCAGGAAGTTCTTTGATCAGTTCCATTCTCTCTTCTTCCGCCCACAAGAAGCTGATGTCTTTCACATTGTCTGGCCACCATTTGCGGGGAAATTTCAGCAAAATCTTGTCAACTGTTCCCAGCGGCACTCCTTCTATAGAGTTAACCTGCGCTTAACAAATCAGCCTTTAAAACTAGGCAAATGGACACTGGATTACCTCACCTTAAAATCGGGCAAAGCCGGCCTAAAGAGATGTTTGTAGCTGGCTTTAAGGACGCCAACTGAAGCCGTAAGAATAACGTGATCGGCTTTAAAAGTGGACCCATCTGAGCATTCCACTTTAACTGGGGCTTCGCCCCAGTCGATTTGTACTGCTTCTTTATTGAGGATCGTTCTGCTTTCTATGGGCAGCTGTTTGGAAGCGTCCGGGATTTTTTTCTGCAATTATTAACCATTTCTGTAAATATACTGCGAGTTGTTCTTATTTAGATCCGGGAAATGGTTTTCCAGTTTCCAGTGTTATTCAGAAATTTGCCTAGTGGTGCAAAAATGCATGCAACTTTTGCATGTAGAGCTTACAGTGAGGACATCCAGGATAGTTTTGTAGCCTCTATTTCGCCACCCCAACATCTGGTCGCCTTCGCAAGCCTGGAAAACGTAGTGGCTGGTAACGGACAGTTGGTTCCAACATTCTGCCGGGTTCAGAAGCACCATGAACTTTTGAAACCACGCAGCCACTAAATTGGCTAAGTCCAGAGCGCTGGGGTTTCCACGGAACTTTTCTTGCACCCTTTGGTTGTATCTGGAACCGGGAAAATGTTGCCACAAAGCTCAACTATTCGCTGATGCATACTCTGCAGTGAAATAGTCTGCAAACGTTCCTCCATGGTTCCTTGCGCATTCTTGGTCGTCCTTCACAGCAATGGCTAAAGCAAACAGTTGATCTGACAGGGATTTATCCGGTGCAGTTCCATCTGGAAGAAAAAATGACATTCCTGGATCCTGGGGCAACTGGGATGGACTGAGCAGGTCCAGGTCTTTGACCATTTCGTAAACCACATTGCCCTTCTCTCCATGCACCTTCCATAGGGAAAGCTGTGTGAGTTCATCAGGAAAATTTAGATTTTTACTGTCATACCCACTGCCCGCCGATATCTACAAAAGTTCCTCCAAACTCCACTGAGCATACTCGACCTCCAATGCGATTTTCCGCCTCCAGAATGGTGATATTGCAAATTCCGTGCTCAAAGAGCTTCACTGCTGCTGCAATTCCAGAAGCTCCCGCTCCGATTATTAGGATTTTCGGTCCTTTGGCCGACATGCTGCATCCGCCTGTTTAATAATCACTGAATCTTTCATTGTTTTTGTTCGTTTTTATCGCTTTTAGCTCGAAATAGCGTGCGCTTATCTGGAAGTTCTATTGCATAATGCTCGATTTGTTTACGCAGTGTTCCAGTACTTAATTGGGGATTTATCTTTTGCCTAGCGAAATGGAGCCAGTGGCAATAATGTAAAGAATTTATCTGGTTACTGGTAGTTTAACGAACTAAAATCGAATATGTTTCTACAGCCAACCAGATTATACAGGGTGATGCGCAGATTGTAGGTGAAATTCTAGTCTCAAGAACAGTTTGCTGCACTACGGAAATACTGGGCGTTAAATTTGTAGTTTAAATTTCAAATTTATTCCATAAGTTCTACAGTTTTAGTTGAAAATTGGAAATAGAAGGTTTTTGCTGGTGAGAAACTCGCTAAAGTATTTTGAGTGAAACTTTTTTACCAGCGGCGCGTATACCCACGTGACTGAATATTATTGCGGAAAACAATCGTGCGCCGCTGATTTATCAGCAAACTGTTGACGCCATTTCAGTGCCTGTTTAATTCTAAACAGAAAAGCTTTCTTGGGTGTTCCTCAAACCACGCATCATTGTTGCGTAAAAAGTAAAATTCACTTTGCTGCACGCAAGTAAAAAATGAGGTGAACCTAGGTGAAAATTGCCATTTTCAAACCTCAAATTTGCCTTAATTTTCGGAATAATTCGAAAAACAGTTGAATTCTGCGCGTATAATGAAAGGCCAAAAGTAGTTGCTGCTCCAGTCAACGTTTTTGTTCTACATTTTTTAAAACTGGCTCTGCCTTCTTGTACTGTCTGTTTTTTCGGAAAAAATCGGTTCTAATGCAAGAAGAAGCAATGGCAACAAAAATCGCCAAACAAAAACATCTATTCAAAAATTTAAATAAACAAATTAATAAACTTCTTCTGCTCTTGCTGTGCTCACATTGCTCGGTTTGCTCTTCTTTCGGCTGCACTTTTTAATCAAAATGTCTGCACTCCACATGACAATGGTGAGAGCAGTCAAAGAATCCAGCAGAATAACGCAGTAAATGTAACTACCGGTGGTGGTTCTGGTGATTCCTAGAAAAGTAAAAAAATCAACAGCAATTGAAGAAATGCATATCACTGCTCACCAATGGCATATCCGCCCAATAGCGACATTAAACTATTCAAAACGATTTGAATGACCAAAGCGGAAGCAAGATGCTGCTCTGGAACGTAGCTGGGAATAATCAGCGACATGTAGACAACTCTCAAGCCCTTGGAACAGCCCAGAATCAGTGCTATGATCAGTATTGTTGGGTAGTGACTGATATAAATTAGGGCTGAAAACTCGCATTATTCAGCCATTGATCAACTGAGCGCTAAGGCTGGAGCTTACCAAGTCTGGCAGCAATAATAACGCCCAAAACCAATATGATCATTACGCGGGCAGGCTGCTTCAAACAGTCCCCAACATGGGGCGCTAGAAACCGAAAAACAATATCCGCCGCTCCTAAGACTGAAAGAAAAGCAGCGATTTCCGATATGGTTAACGAGTATTCGAATAACAGGAATGGCAGTAGAACCACGAAATTCATCTCCACTAGAACAACCAAGGAAAGACCTAAAACACACTTTGGTAGGTTCTTGCCTAGTCTCTGCCCACTCAGCTACCTATCAAGATATTCACGTATCGTAAATTCAGGCAAATGTCCAATCCCAGCAGACCAACCACCCGATACAAGTATCTCTTGTACCAGGGTAGGCTGTTTATATCGAAATTAGGATCTTTGTAGATTTTATGCTCCTCAAACTGAAAATCCTTGCCCAAAGACTTGCAGTTGCCATTAGATTTACTGTTCATTTTATCACTGTTATTTGTCTGTTCATTCAACTCGATGGTCTCCAATGATTCATTTTCCTCGAAAATATCATAGCAACTCTCCAGGTTGATGCTCTCCTCACTTTTCCACCAAGTGGTTTTGGTGAGAACTTTTGGCTGAGATGGCAACGTCGAGCCTCTTCTTTGAGCCGCTTTGTATACGAGTTTGTTCTTGTAAAAGGGTCAATCAACTGAAAATCCACCTTACCTGCTTCCAAGGAATAGAGGCTGCCTCCAAGCGTGGAATCCAGCCCGATTATCGCCGCGTGCTCCTGCTCATAGCTAATGGAAATAATCGAGTCTTTTCGTCTGAAAGCCAGAAATCGTCTGTTCGTTATGAATTCTCTGGGTTGAACTGCAAAAAACCCAAGTCAACCTCCAAAAGTAAACGTCGCTTCGCTCTTTTACAGTGTGGATACGGCCTAAATCCCGGATCAGACATGACTTCATCCAAAGCCTCATTTTCCAGATCATCTTGATCTTTAGCGTCTTTGACCAGTTCCTCAACGGTTTCTTCTTCTTTCGTTTCAACTACCAAGTGATTCTTTACGGGTTGAAGGAGGACGGCTCCAATGTACCCATGAGCGATAATACCTAAACAAGCTGCTAGTTTAAGGACGTAAGGATGCTCGAAGACCATCCTTGCCTGCCAATATCAAAATGACCCCATCTGGGTGGTAGTTTTGGATCAGGGCGCTGATGATTTGGGGCATCAGGATGGGGCCTAAAGCAGTTAAAGTCATCGAGAGGCCGATTGCTTTGTTCTGATTGGTTGTGAAGTAGGATTTGATTGCCAAGCTGCAGGAGGATGCGTTTAGACCAACTCCAATCCCTAGACAATTTTTTGGCTGGTTTAAGATGCATTTTCAATATATTCTAAGTGCAGAATAACAGGATCAGATAGTGGTTGTCCTGAAAATAACCTGGATTGTACAGGTTTCGGCAGTGTTCTAAAGAATGTTTTTTGTAAGCATTTTATTGAAGTAATTTGCCGCAAATTGTGCAAGTATCAAGAGTTTTAACTCAAGAGTGGAATTGAAGAAATCGTTGCATAAAACCATACCGAATTATTACTGCAACGGCGCTGCGACGAAGTTATTACTCTTTTCGAACTTTTAAATTGAAAAGTTCTATATTACCATAAAAAAGCACTAAATTGTCTTTTCCTACAGATTTGTGTGAACTTACCAGTAACGAATCCAAAAGTAAGCATGAATCCCAAATAATTGTGTATCCACGAACTCATGCTGAGTCCGCAGAACACGAAACTCACTCCTGCTAAAGTGACCTTGCGATAGCCGAATCTTGTGAGTAGCAGATTATTGAGTAAGTGAGTGATGTAGATGAATGAGGTGTGCACATTCAAGGCGAACCACATTTGTGTGACGGTCATGTCAATCTCCAGCATTTTGTCTTTGAATATCAGCACTACGTTTTGGATGAGAGGAACCATTAGAAACTACAACATAGAGGGAGTTTTCTAAAGTTCGAGTGAGGCCTCAAAGGAGTTGACTTACATTGTTCAGAACACCGGCAAAGACTATGACCCATCCATAGCCTCCATCCGGAGGTATTAAAGTTCGCGTCATTTTCCGCTAGTTGCGATGTTGATTCATGTTAACTATTAGGCAAAGCCACATAGGTTTCACTCGATTTTACACAGTAGACTGTTTGATATAGAATTTCAACATTTTTTCCATGCCAGTTTTTATTTCAACAAACATATTTTTAATAACAATAACAGTAGCACTAGCGTACAGGCGACGACACGTTTAACAACAATTTTCGTTAAGTATTCTGTCGTCATTCAACACAGGTTTTAGCAAAATAAATACTTTATCTGGCGTGCTCATAGTGATTGTAGAAATTCATATTTCAACTAGGTACTGTGAAAACACAGCAGACATACCCTGTGGCCCTAAAAATATGCAACTCAATTCTCTGCTACAATCAATCTAATTAAATGCTATCGGCTTCGGTTTGTTTGCGAACAATAGATTGGTTTGCACTCGCAAGTTGTATTTATTGTTTCAATGCCCAGTGATGGAAATTAATGGAACTAAAAACGTCCAAGAGGTTTAGTGATCAAGTTAACAACACGCGTCTGATAGTGAACACGCAGTTTTTCTTCAAACAGTTCAAAGAGACTGCAGTATGTGACTGTTTGGCCAAGCCAAGTGGATGCGTTTTCCTACAACTCATTTCATTTCTGTGGTTGCTTAGAGTTCAGTTTTTGTCATTAAGCTGCAGGTTTTAGAATCTAAACCTTTTTTGTTTTTTTATTTGCTTTGCACAAATTAACACTATTTGTCTTTGGTCTTCTTCAAACATTTTAAGTAACATCTTAGATGAGCAACTTTCCTCACTTATTAGAATCGGCCGTGTATAAACCAAGAAAACGCATTTAAAAGTAGATAAACCAAAGATAGAAACAAATATGTGTAGTTCAATTTAAGTGCACTTGAGTCAATTTTTAAATTGACTTTAAGATTATTTGGATAATGTGATTTTGCCATTAAAAATATCAATTTGTTCGGCCATTGGCAGTAAGACTGGATTCAAAGTCTATTTTCTCCCTAAAAATCGCCGACGTTTTGTCTCTTTATTCTGGGCATTCTCACGACAGAACTTTAATTAAGAAGTTTCCAAAAGTGGTGAATTATTGAGTGTCTTAGTTGGTGAAATTCATTCATTTTTTCTTGGGCTAAACCTTGACCATTTGCCGATATTTTTGAGCTCTTTATGAAAGCTTGTATCATTTATAGTTTTTGGGCAAATATATTTTTTAGATTTCCTTGCTATTTAACGATTTTTTACTCCTGATATACCTGCCCATGTAAGAAACATTTTCCATAAGGGCGGATCGAAAAAAAGCAGGAAATATTTGTGACGAAAAGCTCATTCGACTTTTTGCTAGCTTTGTAGGCGTTGATGTAAAAATGAGTTTTTCTCCAACTGCAAGCTCAAATTAAAAAAATCATAACTTCTAAGCAAAAGCAAAACGTACTCCAAGATTCTCATTCATTCATTCTTAATACTGAGGAAATTCCATTCGGATCGCATTAAATTCTGATTTTTGAGCGCTTAGTAGATGTTGATGTAAAAATTATAGTTTTTAGCCAGCTGCAAGCTCAACTTTAAAAACTCATAGTTTCTAACAAAGAGAACACAGAAGCCAGAAACTTTCACATTCTATAGAGAACACTCCAGTCTAACTAACTGAAGAATTTAATTTGGATCATATAAAATTTTGATTTTTGAGGCGCTTAGGAGATGTTGATCTGAAGATGATAGTTTTTACCCAGCTGCAAGCTCAACTATAAAAATTCAAAACTTCTACCAAAGCGAACAATGCAGCTTAAAACTTTCGCACTCTATAGGCGACACTATAATCTGGATATATAACGAGTCGAAGGCAGAAACTTTCAAGCTCTTTAGAAAACATTTCAATCTAAGTAACCAGATAATTTCATTGCAATCATCCAAAATTCCGATTATTGCAAGCTTACAGATGTTGAGGTAAAAATGAAAGTTTTTACCCAACTACAAGCTCAAATTTAAAAGTTGGTAACTTTTAACAAAAAGGAAACTCCAACGCGAAACTTTTTCAGTCTACAGAAGAGACTTCGATTTGAGTCCTCAGAGAACCTCATTTGTATCGCACTAAATTCTGATTTTTGCACGCTTTGCAGATGTTGACGTACATTTTTTATACAACTTACACAAGAAATCACACTTTCGGCTTGTCCAATTTGCGTTCATATCTTGATTCTTTCGAAGCTTATACTTTTTATTTCTGCTTAATGCCCATATGGAATCAATTGAGTTTTGCTCACAGGCAAAATGTTAATTTTCTTTAGTCGCATGGCCGAAGGTTAAGTTCCATTCATTCATGACCACTAGAAACATTCTATTTAAAATATTTCATTCAATACCAATCAGCTTTATTACAAATTTTTAAAAGGTTCGTTATCCATTCATTGATAAGCAGCCAGTAAGTAATTAAAACTGCTCTTAAACTCAGTAGAGTAATAAATCCATTGTATAGTTTTACGTGGCGCAGATTTGTTTCAGTCAAGTGGCACAGCAATTTGGTTATAATTTATACAATTAATAAATCATAAACGTGTAATTTTGTCGCATTTGTCGCAGTTGGTTTACTTAGTGTGACGGGTACTTGGTGAGCCAAAAATATCAAATTTAAACCGAGATTACGCACAATCTCAACCGAAAACGATTGCATAATTGCGTTGGGAATTAGTGGCCTGAGAGTGCTGTTGCCGATGGATAGTGCGATCTGACAGCTCCAATCTGATCTCGATCGATTTCCAAAGTTTTCTTTTTCAGCATTATTTCCCTTTCGAGCACGTTGCGAATGATGATCATCTGCTCCTGGGACGCTTCCGCTTGGCCCAGTTGGGCTTGAAACACGGTCACGTTATCCCCAATGGTATTCACCTCTTCTACCAACCTTCAAATATCACTCACCTATGAAAATTAGAAGCACATGAATTTTCTGGAAAATTACCCGAAGTGTGGCGGATCTCTGCAATTTTCCACCCGCGGTCTTTGCAGCCGGTTATCCAAGCGCGTCTGGACCTTCTTTATCGGCGTGTCCATTTTTCTGATTGCTGCCTTCAGCGCGTTTATCAGACTTTCGACGTCGGCAAGCTGCAGCAGAATCTACCAAAGAAAACCATTCAAAATCGTCTAGTTAATTCAGCCAGGAATTTGCTAATTTAACTGAAGTTCTAACTGCAACAATTGATAGTCTTTCAAACATCTTTGTTGTGAGTGTCGGGGTGTCAATACAAACATAACCTGAGCGTGAGGGTGTTGAAGGCGGAAATTACACAAAGTTGAAAAGTTGTCCTCAGAATTTTTCATACTTGTTTCAGCTCGCTTTCTAGGTTCTTCACTACTTCCTCATAGCAGGCGACTTTGCGGTTCAAAGCCAGCTCCAGCCGATCGGCCTGAGTCCTCAAGTCTCTGGCTGAGTTCATCAGAATGGCATCCAGAGTTCCTCGCAGAGCTACAGAACGCTGCCTTGTCGCTTCCCCAGCCAGCAGGGTTTCCTTGGTAAAATGTTCCCAATACTCTGGAGTGGACTGGCTAAAAAGCAATCATTTGACTCGAACTACTCGAACGAACTTCTTCTAAGTACTTCTCTGGAAAAGTGACTGCACCAGGCTTGAACATCAGAATGGTGGATCGGGTGTTTAGCGAATAGTTAAGAGCGTCGAGTTCGTGGGCGATTCGCTTATCGCTCCAGTCGTACTCCAATCTAAAACCGCCTTTAGATCGACCGCTCACCTAAATTCGTCCAGGGTTTTTACCGTTGTTTAGCTGTGTGGTCTTCCAGTAGTTGCATTTCAACATCCTTCAGGGTGCGCGAGAAAATGCTTCTAATTTCCGAACAAAGCGCCACTTCTTTAATCAACTCGTCTTCCACCTCGTCTCTCACCAGCTCACTATCCAGACGACCAGTTCTTCTTTCCAAGCACTCTCCAGCTGAAAGTTCGAGTTAGTTTTACCACCACTAAGAACCTGAAGGTCTCACCAATAGACTCAGGCATTTGCAGGACAGCAGCGGCTTGCTTCAGCCGGCGCCTTTGTTCTTCCATGAAGCTAATTTCCTCTGCGGCTAGAGCTATGGCTCGTTCTAGCTCGCACTTCCAGCGCATTATCCCCATTTCTCTTTGGTTCAGTCTCCTGGTGTTGTACCCTTGGTTTCTGTCCACGTCGGCCTGGGTCTGTTCCAGACATTGCCTCCCATTCCAGTCAATGCTTCATCAAGAGGAGGGAAATGATTGCAGTGAAAAAGCATAAATTATGCGTAACCTACAGATAAGCTCTATGTTGTTCAGTTTTGGTATAGTCCCATATTTCTTTGTTGTGCGCTCTCCACTCTCCCTCACTATAGCGCGTTATTGAGTATTTATCCACCACTGGTCTGGTGCCAGTCAGACCTCCCAAGGAGCCCCAATCAGCTTTTCCTGTGGCCCAGGGGCCCACAGGACCCATATCTGCAATCTAATTAATCCTCATTTAGCCCTCAAAAACGTCTATAGGAGACAAGGCACCTTTTGAGCCATTATGAAGTCTTCAGGTTGTGGCAGGTAACAAGCAGGGTTTTCCTCAAGAATGGGTCGTAGAGCGTTTGGGACTGGAACTCTGGATCCCAGCTCCGGGTTTTCTGGATGTTCTGGATCTTGACGACCTGCGGTTGCATACATTCTCGCTATTTGCTGCTGTGGATTCGTCCCGCTGACTCCTTCCACTGGCTGGTAGTAGCCTTGATTGGTAGTCGTCGAGGTGGTTGGTAAGATAGAATATTCTTCTTTGGCTTTTATTACTTGGAAAGCAGGCAGGGCGGAAGAATTCGGGCAGCAGCAATTGCTGGCCGGGTGGGTTGTAGTTGAGTTTTTCAAAATTCCCCTTAATGGCTTTATATCACCTGAAAGACGTTTCGGATCAATTGAAATTTTAAGAACTAAGAGGAAGAGAAGGGTCTGGGCGTTCAAATGCACTTTAAAGATGCCAGAAGTTTGAAAAGGTTTGGAAGGTGCGGATTTTAAACCGAAAATACTCCTGATATCATAGCGAGGTAAGTTTGACTACGATTTAGATATTTTTGAAAATGGTAAAAAGAGAAGAATTTTATCTTTGAGGCGTCCGAAACAAAAAGCTGTTTTCCGCTGGTTCATTTGAAATCCGTTAGAATTTTAAACCTAAAACATATGTTTGTTACCGATTTTAAATATTTGAATATTATAAAAATGTTAAGGCTTAGACCATTTAAATTGAGTTTTCTGTTACGGAATGAATGAACACTCGGCAGGCTTTTGCGCAATTAATTTTTGAAAAACACGTTGCAATTTAGATAAATGCTATTTACAGTGTCCGTCACGAACTTGAACATTTCTCAACACTCGCATGAATTTGTGATTAAAGTAAAATTTGCGGGTAGATTAGATGAAGATTTTCTCTTCAAGACGGTGCCTAAACAAGCTTTAACAATTGACCAGTTTTATCGTAATTAATTTTTGAAAAACACATTGCAACATCCATGAAAGCGACATTCACAGTGTCCGTCACAAACTTGAAAATCTCTCAACACTCGCTTGAATTCGCGACTAAAGTAAAATTTGCGAGTAGTTTAGAGGAAGATTTTCTCTTCAAGAATGTACCTAAAAAGTTTTAACAATTCACTGGTTTTACGGTAATAAATTTTTTGGAAAATACGTTGCAATTTCGATGAAAGCGACATTCACAGAATCCGTCACAAACTTGAAAATTTCTCAACACTCGCATGCAGTTGCAATTAAAGTAAAATTTGCTGGTAGTTTGGAAGAATAGACGGTGCCTAAACAGGCTTTAAAAATTGACCAGTTTTACGTTAATTAATTTTTGATAAATACGTTGGAATTTCGATGAAAGCGACATTCAAAGTGTCCGTCACAAACTTGAAAATTTCTCAACACTCGCATGAATTTGCGATTAAAGTAAAATTTGCCGGTAGTCTAGAGGAATATTTTCTCTKCMAGACCGTGCCTATAGAAGCTTTAACAATTGACCAGTTTTATCGTAATTAATTTTTGAAAAATACGTTGCAATTTTGATGAAAGCGACATTCACAGTATCCGTCACAAACTTAAAAATTTCTGAACCTTCGCATGAATTTGCGATTAATGTAAAATTTGCTGGTAGTTTAGAGGGATATTTTCTCTTCAAGAGGGTGCCTGAACAAGCTTTGACAATTGACCAGTTTTACCGTAATTAATTTTTGAAAAAAAGGTTGCAGTTTCTATTGAGATCGCATTGACTGTTTCCGTCACCTGCATGGACTACTTCATTAACTCACTTTCATCACTGCTTCATTAACTCAGAAATGAATTCTTTGGCTCAAAACGTTCTCATTTTATCACCGATTTAAATTTTCCATAATCTGGATTCGATCGCTGCTTTTCGTCTGTAAAACTCAGCTTAAAGGCGGAGAAAACTCAGAAACTCCCTCTAGAGAGTTACCGGTCAATCTATTTAGGCAGCATCTTAAAATTTTATACCAAGAAACTAGCCAAGTTAGTTTCCCATTGAAAATTTTTCAAAAATGGGAAAGCCAGATGACTTTTGCTTTATAAATTTGTTTTACGATGCTGCAAACTCTTAAATATAAAGAAGTTGGAGACAAATTCATCTGGCACCGTTTAGAATTCATAAACCCAAACTCTCTTGAGACAAAAATGAGCCAGCCTGATTCGGGCCAACCCCAAAATGTTAAATTTTGAACCTTTTCAATCTGAAGCTTTTATCTTTTAAACCCTGTCTTACAATGTTAAAATTTCCAAAAGTTGCGGAAGTTCTTTTTCTCTATTAATTCGTATATTCGTATATCCGTATTTCCTCCCAATAAAACTTTGTGCGTTTTACCTTCCTTATTGAAAACTTGACAGTCAATTCTAATTTTGTTCTCTTCTTGGCCAGTGGCTCTATTTAAACAGCATCGCTCTGTTGCAGCCCGCGCGCATGGAGGCATTCCGCCTAAATCGTGCATCATTAGAGCCTCTTCTCTATTAAAAAAATTCGACTCTTTTGGCTCATAATCAATGCTCGAAGCTTTAGTGGGGGGCTCGTGAAGGTTGGGGCTCTGATACGCCGTGGGCACGCCCAAATTATATTCCTGTGGGGTATTTTGCTGATATTGAACTTGAGGCTCAGGGACGGTGTTTTGAGCGAGGAAATCGGAGGCTTTAGGAGGCTGGAATTTGGGAAATTATGTACGTTGTGAACTGGAAAATGGTTAGTTGATGGAAACACTTACGTTTGATCCGAATTGCGCTAAATGGGGACACGGATCGCAACTTCGGGGGGAATATTCGGCCATACTATTGTATCGATAAAACTTGTGTAAAAATAAGCAGACGAAACGGTGTTGAATCAATGATTTTGTGTCCAAGCTGACAGTATTTGACAGATAACCAGCTAACGGGTAAGGTTTTGATTTGTTAGGTGGATTTTGCAGATATTTTAGAACAATATTTTCCTTTCAAAACGACCCCAAAGCAAGCTCTAAACATTTTTTATGTGATGGCATTCGCCAATCAACTGAAATTTGCCACTGTTCTAGACCACAGTATTCTCTTTGAAATGGTAGCAAAATACGCTGAAAAGGTGTGCTAGTTTTCTTGTAATGCGTTTTTGAGAAATGGGTTGCTTTTCTATTGAGCCAAAATTTCACGATTTCGGTAACAGATTTCAAAATTTCTCTAAACTTACATGGCCTTGGCATTTAAGTGAAATTTGCACGCGCTTCAAATCAAAATACTTGTTTTAAAAACTTATCAGAATATACTCAAAAGCTGAACTGGTTTTATTGGGATTAGATTTTGAAAAATTGGTTGCAATTTTTGTACTGGCAGAACTCTAAACATCGACAAGAACAAATTAATTCCTGACCACCAATTTGGCTTTCGCAATCAACACGCGGCAGTCGAACAAGTTCACAGAATTACTGCAAAAATCTCCGAATGTCTAGAGAATAAACTATATTGCTCTGCAGTGTTTATAGACGCACAACAAGCATTCGATAGAGTATGGCATAAAGGGTTACTCTACAATATTTAAAAAAACCTACCCCAATTTTATCTATTATTCAGTTCATACCTAAAAGGCAGAACGTTTCAAATCAAGGTAGATGATGCGATAACCAAATCTTATAATATTATTGCAAGCTCAGTGCTGGGACCCGTTTTGTTCTCTTTATACACAGCGGACTTTAGCTGCAACAAAAAGGCCACTCTAGCCACCTTTGCAGACGACACAGCAATCTTAGCAGCAGATGAGAATCATTCACTGGCTTCTAAGAAAGTACAGGAAAACCTTAACATGTTTGAAGATTGGCTGCAGAAATGGAGAATAAAAGTAAACGAATCGAAGTTTTCACACGTAACATTCACATTAAGACGAGGAACGTGTCCAAATGTCACTCTCAACGGTAAACAAATATCGCAAACAAAACACATAAAATACTTGGGCATGCATCTGGATCACCGATTAACATGGAAACATCTTATCCAAGCTAAGCGGAAGGAACTAAACATTAAAGTTAAAAAAATGTATTGGCTTATTGGTCGACAATCCAAACTATCTCTCGAAAACAAAATACTTATCTACAAATGTATCCTGAAGCCAATATGGAGCTATGGTGTCCAATTATGGGGCACAGCGAGCAAATCGAACCTATCTATTATTCAAAGGTTCCAACTAGGTACGATTACCAACTCACCCTGGTACGTTTCAAACAGAACACTCCACACTGACCTCAATCAAGCTACCATACAAGAAGAGATTCAAAGATTCCACTCCAAGTACCAAGATCGCATCGCCTGCCACCCT